CCCTGCATTAGATTAAGAGGCCCTCTTCAGTAACTGCCTTCCTCGTTTCTTGGGAACCGTAAGAGTTGCCAAATCTTGTGTGACAGAGAGCAAAACATTTCTGCTCTGAACTAGGGAAAAGGGCCAAATATACATAGAACATAAATAAAGGCAAGGGCAAAGATTTGCGACATGGCAAAGGAATGGAATTCAACGAACCTGGTAACTGTTTCCAGACTGTTTATAGTATTTTACGCATGCTTCCATTGTGGCCTTGTCGTGGTCAAAACTTCGCTCCAGAAAAATATAAGATCCGCAGCCCATCGCCCATCCCGCACCAGGTACACGTTTGAGAGCAGCCTGCAAAACGCCGATAATTTGATTAACTGAATAATCTTAACTAAGGGTGTGATCCGTTGAATGCAGCCCTCAAATTATGTTCTTTTACAGCTAATAAAGTACTGATGACATGCAGTTTAATATTAAAATTTCTCTCCCGTTAATGAAAAAGCGGTGAAATATTCAGACATATAAAAGGATTATAGTTTAACAGTTACAGTTTAGAGGAAAACAAAGCGCGCCAAAAAAGGGGAGCGGAAAATGCTTAGTATCGGTGGGAGGTCACTGCTATGAGAATATAAATAAAGAAAAGATACCGAAAGAGTTGCAGGAACGGATTAGAAAGATCAGAATGAGGAAGAAAATGCATCTACCTCTGAAACAAGACAGCAAGGGTAGCCAAAGGAAGAAACACCAGGCTTCACTCGTAGACTGAGTGCTGCGCAATTAACACTAGGAAGTGGTGCGTGAGACACGAGAAGATCAAATTCGGATCTTGACTTGACAGTTTACCTCTGCTCATAAACAGAAGACCGCTACCGAGATTTTGATACCAAGAATGGAAGTCAAGGATAATCGTCTCCATTAGGCCGCGTTCATAGCTTGCGTTCGTGAAGAAATGCAGAAATGCGGAAAATGCAGAAGTGCGGAATCTGCAGAAAAGCAATAGATACTTATCGACTTGAAGAAATGCAGAAATGCCGAAACTGCAGAAGTGCGGAAAGTGCAGAAATGACGAAAAGCATTACATACGTATCGATCTTGAAGAAATGCAGAAATGCCGAAAGTGCGGAAAATCGATACGTATGAATTGCTTTTCGTCATTTCTGCAGATTCCGCATGTTCTGCACATTCCGCACTTCTTCACTTTCGGCATTTCTGCAGATTCCGCACTTCTTCACTTTCGGCATTTCTGCAGATTCCGCACTTTCTTCATTTTCGGCATTTCTGCATTTCCGAACGCAAGCTTATAAGCCGTTAGCACTTGGGTCACAATGATTGTTCCTCACTAAGGAGGGAAGACCTAGCTTTTGATAATAATGTCGCCCGTGCGTATTTCAAACAGTGCTGAGTCGGTTCAGCACTGCCACGCACATAGACTCTCGATGCGACCTACTAAAGCTGCATTGCTTCTTGTAGAAGAAGTTGGCTACCCTTTCCAGCTCGCACTAGTCATGGGGTTATGTAAAAATTTCGGCGAATTTATTCTAACCTCTCCTGACCACCTACGGTTTATCGTTAAGCCTACACTACTGACAAGCCGCATAGAGGGAACGCGAAAGGACAAGTGGTTTCTGATCAGATCTGAAATAGGAAAAAAGCCGCTTGACGCGCAGCGTAGCGTGGAAGAGAATGTCTCAGTGAAATTTGTGGTGTAGTGCTCTCAAAATAATTTTGCGGATAGTAAGAGGTTCCCAAATCGAAATATTATCGTGGGTTCTGCGCTCTTGAACATAGCGTTTCTTCCCTGCACCCAAAAAGATCTCACGCGAAGGCTCATTCAGGGCAAAGTTACAAAAACTGACTACGTCGTTGTTTTTTTTTTTGAAGTCGATGGATCACGTCAGATATCGCTTCAAAAACCCACTGTGATTAGAGCTGTCCTATTATGCCGAATAGCACGATTAATCGTCAAATCGCTTGTCTGCGATCATGTACAATAAGTTCGGAATACATATAAGCGTTTCATGCATGATATGGGCTAAATAAGCTTTACTCTGATCAAAACATGGCGAACAAGATATATACAGTTCATAACCGGTTTCCTCTCATCGATGACTATTCCAGAATGAATTACAAATTATATTTACCTTTAGTGAGATCTTTTCAGTTGTGAGCAGTACAGGATCCATTTTATATAAAGCATTCCATAGGAATAACCAGTCTAATCTAAACCATAATGTTATTTGCAACACTTTGTTCCAAAACGAGAAAAGGGAAATGTGCGCACCTTGTTCTGTGATTCATTATTATTAAGGCTGGGTGGTCGCGTGAAATTAAGTCGCCAGTCACATGAAATGATGTACCAAATAGGTGCTCCACCAAGGACTGCAAACACAGAATTTCATAAAAATTTGAGCTGAATATTTGGAGCTAGGAACCGAGCTTCGAATAACAAATTTCTGTTCAGGCAAGACATAAGGCAAGTAATGTTCATTCTGGGGCGTTGACTGCGACCAGCATCTTAAGCTGCGTTCATATTTTGCGTCATCGGAGAACTGAGATATGAAAGAATCGGAAAAAAAGCGCGCAAAGGAAAGCATAATCATCGATCTGGAGATCGGAGAAGGCGCAAGTTGGGAGCATTCGCGATGAATGACTAGCGTGTGGGTAAAAGGATAAAAGGATGAAGTCTGGCTTATTGAATGCGATGTGGCCTATACAATGACTTGCGGTGGCCAGCCGATGTACAAGTCAGTGTTTTATCCTCCCAGACGAATCTGGTACCAATTTACCGTCCCCGGATAGAAGGCTTGGTTGGCCTGGGCGGGAGTCGACCCGGGATTCGAACCCGGGACCGCGCGAGTGGTAAGCGCGCCACTTGTCACTACACACCTCCGCGAGCGTATGGGTGTTGATGGGTAACTATACTTTCCCTCACGCGCAATCTCCGACTGTCGCAAAGTATGGATGGAGCATC